TCCATGGAAACTGCCCCGCCCCTTGTATTGTTATGAGTTTGGAGGCAGGTAGGCCCAGACCTTTATAATGCTTGGGCCCACCTTCTAATTCTTGGAATAGCCAGGCCAGCCTGTTAATCGCCCCCTAAGTTGGATCCTTAGGGAACAAAGGAAGTGCCTCTGTTCCAGAGACAGTTCCCTCACTGTCTGCTAGTTAGAAACACAAATGGCCAGAGAGTTGAGAGTTGAGCTAGAAGCTAGATGAGAGAGTGGGAGGATGGCAAGGCAGAGAGAGACCCATGCTTGATTTCTGCTGGGATCCAAGGCTGTGGCTGTGGAAGAAGCAAGACCCTTTTACTGCTGTGAAGCCCTCCATCTTGTCATTTTTCAAGCTCTGAACAGTTTGGGGCCAAGCTACTCAAAGAATTGTCTGCGCCCATATGAACCTGCCCAGATATAAAGAACAGCCACGGAGGGGATGGTTAGGTTGCCAGGCAGAAAAGATTTCGGGCAGTTACAGAATTCTCTTCCTAAGGAGATACATGAGTCTTGAAAATAGTTCTGTTCTGCAGTGCTTTAATGAAGAGAGTAGGTTAGGCAGTTGAGGCTGGTCCATCAGTGTCCATGAGACACTACCCCATCAATCTCTGTCTGCCTTCAAGTCAGCCCCTACTGGCCTGCCTTCTTACAACCAGCCCAGGAGGTGGAGCTGCCTGACAGTTTCCTTCTTAGTCTCAGTGTTGCACTTGTAAATCTCAGCAGCGAAGAGGATGGGAACAAAACCAGAATGAGTTGGCTCTGGCTGTTGATCTCCTTGCTTTCCACCCTACCAGTCCCAATGTGCACCCACAATCACTAAAGTCAGGCTTGTATTATGTTTTTCTCACGACTCTTCAAATTTTATGCTAAACTGACTGGCTAAATTGAAATGACGTTATTGCATTTTCACCACTTTTTATTATTGTTCCCTGTTTCATAATATTAATGTTGATGGAGGTTTTCATCTATTTTTTATTATCACTTTTTCACACTTTGCCTTGGGGGGAATTATTATTAGAAAGGTTGCTTATATACACCTCCTTCTTTGGCTGCAGAGGTTATCCCTCAGCATGTGATGGGCTGGAAGGAGCCACTCAACCTCAGGGCCGGGTCTAAATGTGCAGCTCTGCAGCACCCTGTTGTCTGTGTTCCTTCAGGCTAGTAACATATGAAGAAAGCTTCCATTGTTTTAAAAAGTAGAGAGAGTCTATCACATTGTAATGCATAACAATCTTCATTTCTCGGAGGCCCACATGATGATGATGCACCCAGTGCTGGATTGAGGGTGGGGCAGGTGGTTCCCCTGCACAGGGTGCCCGGCTGAGGAGGTGCCAAGAAAGGGGCGCAGGATGGAAGGCGAGAGGGACGAGGGCATGTAAAAAAGAACTATTTAGGGTGGGGCAGTCAAATGTTGCCCTCATTCAAGGCACCATATTACCAAAGTCTTCCCTTGGAGTACCTTCCAAATTCCCTTCTTAGCTGCATTGGCCTCTTGTCTAATCCAGGCTTGACTATTCCTACATCATCCACATGGGAGTTTAATGTGGATTTGAAGCTACCTGTGCCTCATTTTTTTAGTGTCACCCACATGAACATCCCCCTGACCTGACCCAAAGGGCAGCCTGCACTTTCCCCTTGTTCAATCTGGATCTTCCTGATGCAGGGACAGTCCAATCAGAGAAGTGAATCCAATATAAAATTGCATGTTGCCCAGCTGTGGAGGCACTGACACGCCTTGTTTGGCCAGGGGCTTCATTGATGTGTGTGGTGACGTTTCGTGGGTGCCGTCTACTGCCACACTCCTTGCTCCCATCACCTCAGAGGAAAGGATGCTGCATTTGTGGATTAAAAAATGAATTAAAACAGCTTTTTTGCTTTTTTAGACTGGCTCTAGCGCAAAAATTTGTATTAAAAAATAAAAATTGCTTCCTGCATGCGAAAAGGCATGTGCAGCACATGAATGGAGTGTGGGACAGCGGGGGATGATTATACAGCCTTCAGAAATGTGAGCAGTTTTCAATTAGTCAATTGCAGAACCCCAAGACAAAGCAGGACCTCCCCTTTTCTCTCCCTTGTGGATCAGAGGTGCCCAGACCCCCACCTGTCTGGCTATTCTTTGCCCTTGCAAGGCACTTCTGGGTGGGCTGCTGGTGTGGCTGGGTAGAACATATAATAATAATAATAATAATAATAATAATAATAATAATTATTTTAACCTGCTCTTTTGAACTGATCTGGTAGATAAAAAATGTATATTCTTTTTATTTTAATTTTAAAAGAATGACTATTTTGTCTACATTGGCTTTGGTGGAAGTTTGTTGTTGCACAATTCCACATACCGTATTTTTCGCTCTATAAGACGCACCAGACCACAGGACGCACCTAATTTTTGCAGAAGGAAAACAAGAAAAAAAAAATTCTGAATCTCAGAAGCCAGAACAGCAAGAGGGATCGCTGCGCAGTGAAAGCAGCAATCCCTCTTGCTGTTCTGGCTTCTGGGATAGCTGCGCAGCCTGCATTCGCTCCATAAGACGCACACACATTTCCCCTTACTTTTTAGGAGGGAAAAAGTGAGTCTTATAGAGCAAAAAATACAGTACATTCTTTTTTAATTTCAAAAGGTGCACACACACACACACACACACACACACGTAAACAGATATCCGTGTGCATGCTCACAACTGACCTCAGGTTTTGGGAACTCACAGAAGTTGGAGAAGTACTGCGGGGAGGGGACAACAATGCACAGCATGAACACACACTCCAAAAATTAAAGCACTGTCCACTGTTTATCCACTATTTTGGAGACATAAAACTGAAAGCACTCATGTGTGGACAGCGGAGCACAAACATGCACATGGTAAAATTGACCCCACATGCACCTTAGTTTTAAGACTAGTCAAGCACTCCTGCAATTGCCAGATTTAAATACATGGAAAGGGTTGGGTATCCCTTTCTGCATGGGCCACATCCTTAGTTTCGTTGAAAGCCAATAAAGTTCTTATTCCTCTCATGCTCTGTCTTTCACGCACCCTGTTACTTTTCTCATCAAACTAATTTTTAAATTGAGTCTTCTTCATTTGCTGTGGCTTAAGAAACAAAACGAAAACCTGTGTGCTTGAATGCGCGCGCGCACTCTCACACAGAGCCAAGCAGCCACCCACACATATATAATGGTTGACAGAAATTTATGCCTGCCCAATAGCAAATGTGAAGTGAGTGGTATCATTACATCTGCAGGTGTTCTTTCATTTCCACCTACGGTAAATATTAATAGAAAAAGCATCAAGTCACGCAATCATCTTCCACTTCAAAGCGAGTAACTTCCCTGTAGTTCACTTCTTTTCTTTGGAAGGCTTGTCAAGACCTGGATCTTTGTTCAGCTGGGCATCCTTCTGAGCAAGTGAATGAAGTCAAGCTAAGAACTTTATGAAGGTAGCCATTTAGAAACTTTTAAAGGGCAATGCCATCTGATAACAGTTAGAAGTTTCTGGGCAACTTGACTATTGTTGTTTTTAATGGATAGGCAAGGGGAGCCAGTCTCTGTTTGTGCATCTACATTGCCTTCACTCAGGGCCCGTTCCAGTCATGTTTTGTTCTACTCTGTCTTGGCAATGGCTTGCCTCTTTCTCTGTATGTCTTTGGTCTCTTCAAACACAAGCATATGTATGGTGAAAAAGCTGTCCAACGGCTGTAGCAATTTCACCAAACATCACCTGTGACTCCCCCCTTTTTTTAAGGGTGGGAGGAGTTGCTATGTGTGTGTTTCACTGTATCAGGTTTGTGTAGTCAATATTATACTTGAAGGCACTCTTGTGTGTCTTCACCATGTCAAGGGGAAACTCTGAAAACTGAAATGGATTCTGGCATGCTTAAAAAAACAACCCATGGAGGCATATTATTTATCACACGGGGATGCAAGAAGGCATGATATAAAGACCGCCCCCCATAATGGCCTTAATAATGCACTGCAAATTAATGTGACAACCAAGGCCTCAATCACATATGGTTATAAACCAGTTGATTTCATGCAATTATGGAAATGGTAAAATAAGATTACTGCTGAGAGGTCTCTCTTTTCCCCTAAAGCTGGAATGAGGAAACCAATGGCTGGCTCCAGACCAGGAAAAGTCTGAAGTTGTGTGGAATCCTGAAGGGATTTCGGCCTCCATCCAGCCTGCCACTCACTTCTGCCTCTTATTTAATTATTATTTATTGATTTAAATGTCCCACCTTTTATGTCCAAGCAGTTCAAGGTGGCATACATAGTTCTTCCCATTTCCATTTTATCTGCACAAGAACCCTGTGAGGAAGGCTAGGCTGAGAGGCAGTAACTGGCTCAAGGTCATCCAGTGAATTTCCTGGCCAAGTGGGGATTTGAACTCTGGTCTCTCATGTCCTAGTCTGATGCTAACACCACACTGACTCAACTTCCCACTGACAGCTCTCTGCTGATACATGAAGAAAAGGCAACAAGGTTCATCGTGGCTCACTGATTCACAAAGCTAACACAGTTTCTGCTATAAGTGTTGCTAAAAAGAGAGAAAAATCCAACCTTGCTCACCAAAAGTGAGGTCCCAGGTCCATACTGCTACCACACCCTCCAAGTGTCCTGATTTTCAAGGGACAGTCCTGGAATTATGAAAGCCATCCTGACTTCTGATTGGATCCCACAATGTCCTTGTTTTTCCTACGAGTGCTGTTGCCACCAAGCTCAGGGAGCAGGATGAGCTGGTGCTGCTTCTGAGCGGTGGCGGCAAAGGAGCATCCCATGCCCTCTCTATGGCCACTGCTGCTGGCCTCCTCTCTTGGGCAGCTCATAGCAGCTGCTGGAGAGCAGGTGAGGAGGAGGAGGAGGCTGCTGCCCCAGGGCCCAACCCCACATGACACACTGGCTCTGAGGCAGGGCCACCCTGGGCGGGAAGAAAAGAGGAGCAGGGTGGAGTGCAAGGAGTCTCGATTTTTTTAATTACAAAAAAATGCTTTCTAATCTTCTCTGTTTCTAAAATTTATTTACTGGTGTGTGTTTTTCTTTTTGTAAATCTAACAAAGAACAAAATAAATTCAGGATTAAGGGGTTTTCTCAGGATGGTGGAGATGTGCTACTACAGAACAAGGGGCACTGCACAAACCTCAAGAAAAATAAATAGCCCACAGCTTACAGAAGACTGAAAAACATGACCTACAAAATACTGTTTCATCATCAGGATGCAAAGACAGCATGAGGATTTTGACTGGCCTCCAGCCTATAAGTATGGTTTAGGCCAATTTCATAGTGTTGGATGTAAAACCTGGTATATCTGTGAGAAGGTACTTGCATGGTAAGATGTGACAGGGACTCTTGCCCATAAAACAGGACCGCTATTAACACTTAGCACGATAGGTTTCCGTCTGCTGCTCCACAGGGAGCTGTCTAAGAGTGCTGGGCTGTGCCCCCCAAAAGCATTTTTTTAAATGACGAAGTGCTACAAGGAAGAGAAGTGTGTTTCTACCATTCACACTGCAGAAAATGTCTGAGAGCTGGGTGATTATGACACACAACAGCATTCCACTCGCCAATAATAAATGTGCATCTGAGTGAAGAACTACATTTTTAAAAGTTGATTTCCATGAGAGAGAACATTAAGAAAATGTTTAGTTTCCCAATGAAGTAAGTGAGCCTAAAAAGCACGTGCGCTTAATATTGTAAACGGCCCTGTAGTCCTTGGATGAAGGGTGATATAGAATTTTAATAAATAATAATATTAATAATGGCTTAGGCCAGGAGAGGGATTTGGAGGGGAGGCTTGAACCAAGTTTTCCTGCTCCATCCCTCCTGTTTGGCTCATTGGATTAAGGCGTCTTCACTGCATAACCATTTCCTGGCATCAGCATTCCCTGTACGAATGAGAGACGATTCAGAGAGGCACTAATACGAGACGGAAGGATTGCAGACTCAGTCCAGCGTACCAATAATAATATTTAGCACTGTACAAACATCAACTAAACAAATCCTCACAACACCCCCTGTGAGGTAGGGAGGCATTACAGTCCCCACTGTACAGATGGAGAAACTGAGGCACAGAAAGGGTAAGTGACTTGCCCACGGGTGGTTATCGAGATGATGGCAAAACCATAATTTGGTGCTCCAGTTTGCACTGTCTGAGCTGAGACTAGTTACATGGTCATGCTGCCTCTTTAGGTCAAAGGGACCAGGTGCACCTTCCGAAAAATATTATTATTATTATTATAATATATGGGGTTGCTGCCTGTTAAACAACATGTATTTGATATTAGTTAACCATTCCACAGTTTCATTCCCCAAACAATACAGTGTCCTTTCACATTCTGTTTCAGGTTCTTCCATGTCCCTAAAGCCCCACCCAGTTTTTGGACTCTATAAAGTACTTGATTAAAGTACATTTCTCCCCAGTGTGCTTTCATCAGAATGTATTGCCAAATAAGCCTCTGTGGGATAGGAGGCCGCTTTTTGCTGCAACTTAAAAATCTGCAGGTGTAGAAAGCTGCCCAACGGGGGTCTGGTTCTGGTGAGGCGACTGCAGACTCTCAGCCCTCCTTGTTGCCTCTGGATTTGAGAAGAAAGGCTGATGATACTTCTGTTTGCTGGTGAGTGTGACAGCAGCAGCGAATGGTAAAAGCACAAGGTGGAGGAGATGGCCTTCCATTGCTCCCTTTGAACCTTTGGCCAGAAGTCCCGGAAGCCCATTGGCTGTATCGATTGTGCTTTGAGGGCTTCGATTTGTGCCGTCAAGCAGCCAAAGCCAGAACCAGGATTTTGAGTCTCTTCTTTCTAATACCAATGAACAACCCCAACCCACCCCACTCCAGCTGGGATCAAAAGTAAAGCAGGAAGTTGGTGGGAAGAGACTGTCAGCTAAGGTGGAGCCATGAGACTGGAAAAGTCCGCCTGAGGGGCGTTCAGGGGAGGAAACATCCTCTCATGCAGTCCGACGCCTTCTCACAAAGCTTCTTTTTCCCTCTGGGAACATCTGCTCAGCTTCATCTCTGTCAACTGGATGTACCGCACAACGTTGGTATCTGCAGGGGGAAGAGGGTCAAAAGACACCAGCTTAGGACAGCCACCAGTCATGTTAGACCAGGCATAGGCAACCTCAGCCCTTCAGGTGTTTTGGGACTACAACTTCCATGATCCCTAGCTAACAGGACCAGTGGTCAGAGATGGTGGGAATGTAGTCCCAAAACATCTGGAGGGCCGAGGCTGCCTATGCCTGTGTTAGACCACAGTTGTTAAGTGTGAAATATGCATCATTGAGACATCGGGAGGCCATCAGACTGGCGAAGGCTGGTCTACATGCTGCAGGGATCACTAGCAACACCATGGCAGACATGTGGCAGGCTCTGTCCCCCAGATTATCTGCTTTGTCCCATAGAACTCAACAGGAGCCACTGAGAAGTGAGTCCATTCCAATCTGCAGAACCCCGCCTGGTTCTGTTTCTTGGACATGCTGGACTTTGCTAAGTGACTCCAGGTGAACATGTCAGAAAAGCAACTACAGCCTGAGATGTATCCTTCATGGAAGAGAGGCACTGGTGCAGAGCAGTGGGGAGGGGACACACACACACACACACACACACACACACAACTCTGGGACTTTTTCCAGAGCAGGAGCAATGATGTCACCTGCCAGAGAGCCAGGATAATTGATGGGCCCTTTTTGCTGTGTGAAGTGCAAACGTTTGCATCTGACAGGTTAGCACAGAGGGAGCCAGAGAAGACGGAGATCATTGAGAAAAAACTGGGTGCCTCTTTTCCTTTCCTACCTTGAGCTAGCACTTTAAATGCGAACACTTCTTTGTGCAATCATTTTCATTTCTAATTAAAAGCTCAAGGTTGCATTTCAGCTGGCTGAAGGTCTTTTGTTAAAGCTCACTCTGTTTAACAAGTTGAACTTATGCAGTCAGAAGTAAGCACTGCTGAGTTCAGTCAGCCTTACTCTCAGGTCGCTGTGCACGCTAGAACTTAAGAAGACACCTGCTGGATAAAAGCAGGGCTTTTTTTTAGCCGCAACTCAATGGAACTCCTTTCCAGCACCAATCAGGTGCGTGCCATTGCCGTTATTAAGAGAACAAGGGAGGCATTCCTGGGGAGTTCTGGCACCTCTTTTTCTAGAAAAATAGCACTGAATAAGAGCAAAGGTCAGTAACTTGTCTTCACAGTGGCCAACGAGATGCCTATGGGAAGCCCACAAGCAGGTTCTGCGCACAATAGGCCTTGTCTTCTTGCACCTGCTTCTGAGACACGTGATGCAGTCATAGTGATCCTAATAAACTGATCATTATGCTATGTACTGATTTTTTTGTGGGCCGCATTGTGTGTAAGCACGGATTAATGCAACTGCCTGAATTTTTAGATTTTGCTTGGGGCACATCTTGGAGGGCACTGTCATGGTGAATCCTTGCACTTCAAATGCAACACCAAAATGCACTATCAAATGCCTCCTAGCCATGGTCAGGCTATGCCTCTGGGTACAAGAGGGGTGCTGCCTTTGCACCTTGCTTGTGGGCCTTCTGGAAGCTTCTGGCTGGTTAACTGTTGGAAACAGGATTCTTGGTGGACTTTTAGACTTGATAGCCTAACAGGGTTCTTGGGTTCTAGTACTTGCTTCAGAGAATATGGCAAAAATTGCTTTTTCTGTCTCTGGAACTGTTTGGAATTGTGGCCTCTGTTGCCTATCTTTTCTTTTCCTCTACCCATGCCCTTCTTCACCTCCCTTCTCAATTTCCCCCCACCCATCTTGCTAGGTAAATGTTAAATGCTCAGGAAGTTATGATACTACGCAGATGCTGCTGCAACCTTGCAGTGTTCCCGGCAAACTGTGCCCTGTAACGTGATCATGCATACAGGAAGGGTGGTTTTAATTGCTGAAGTCAAGTGTGCGCAGATTCATTGTCTTAGAAATATGAAAACTGAGATCCTAGCAGCTAACCTTGGGCGGGGGGGAGACAGAAGAGAACAAGAAATCTGATTCTCCACGTGCACTCAAGGTGAGCGCCCGTGACATTTTGCAGTCCAAAGTGACAATACTGCATGATCAAAGAACTGTACCCAGGGATCCCTTACAAGGTCTTAAAAGTTCTTCGGCTACATATCCCCATTCACCTTTAAAAAAAATCTGATGACCTTTCCAGTCTCAGTACAGTTGTACCTTGGAAATCGAATGGAATCCGTTCCAGATGTCCATTTGACTTCCAAAACATTCGGAAACCAAAGTGCAGCTTCTGATCTGCAGCCAATCGGAAGCCATGGAAGCTGCATTAGACGTTTAGTTTTCAAAAAAAGTTCGAAAACTGGAATATTCACTTTCGATTGTTTGGGAGCCGATTTGTTTGACAACTAAGGTATTTGACAACCAAGGTATGACTGTATATATTTCAGGACTTCACTGTTGTTTCTCTTTAATGCACCATCTCCCTCTGTCTACTGGTACTGAGGTGTAGCCTGAGAAGAGTGGCAATATGGGTCAATGTTAACCAGAAAGTTGGCAGTTTGGGCTCACTCAGGGCAGAATTCCTAGATGACCCTTGGGGTCCCTTCCAACTCTACAATTCTATGATTCTATGGTCTGTCTATCTAATTCTTTCCTAGCCTCCCTTGGTGACCACCATCATCTTGTCAGCTGGATCTTTGGAGCTATTTTCTCGGTTTAAATGCTATATCCTCAGTTCAAACAGATAAGAGGCATCATTTGTTGGGCCAATAGTGCAGTCTTTGCCAACTTGATACAACAGGGGCTGAGGAAGTTGTAGCCAAAAAGACCTGTGCACATATTGAGTACATCTATTTCCTATCTTAAGTGTCCCAGTTTTTTGTTTTTGTTTTAATGTGGGTATTGCTGTTGTACCGTTTCCTATTTTTGTATTGCTGTTTTCAAATTTTATTGTTTTAATTATCTGCACCCCACTTTTGAGAGTCCTTGGATGGAACAGCAGGATCAAAATAAATAACATCATGGGCAATTAGGAAAATCTGTGCATGTTTTACTAGCTCTGTGGCTAATCAGCTCCCTTCAGCAGCCTTCATATTAAGGAAAGAAAACTGGATTTGACTCCTTGCTGAAAATTTCAAATACGTGGAACTACAATGTAAGTCATTATACTCCTAATGGATCTTAACCCCCAAATGGAACCAAAGTAATGAATGTAGCTTCCTCTCTTATCCACTGTAAATTTCCTCATGACATACATTTACCATCTTGACTGCATGCCAAGTGAACATAGTGAGCATTAATTGCCTAGGCATGCTAGGAAATCACACATGCTGAAGCTTGCAGCAACCAGATACCTAAAAGTGGAGGGAGAAGGGGGAATAGATGAAAGTTCAGCCCAGTAATGTGCCAATTGGAGACCATCAGCACCACAAAAAAAAAGAGAAGCAGTGACCCACCACAGCACATATCCATCCACGTAGATAATTTATCAAAGACATTCTGTTTTCAAGAGCTAGGGGCAGAATAGAAGCAAGTTAACATGCCAGAAGACGCTCTCAGTGCTTGCTAGCTAAAACCCTCTCAGGCAAGTCTTAGCACAGAATCTCAGAATTTTTTAAAAAAACAAACAAACCACTTATATTTTCAGAAGCAAAGTCTGAAAGATCCTGCAGGGCCTATTCCTTCCCCAGCCACCTGCAAGCCCCGATCCCCACGAAAAGAAACACTTCACTGAAATTTTGATCTAGGCTCTTTTTTCAAACATTTCCATTGATAATAGGCCCTCTTCTCTTCTTAGGAGTTGAGTACAAATGGCTTTGCATTCAGTTGGAGTTGATAATACTGCAACTTAACATCCCTTACCTCTTTTCCATTTGGTTAATGTCTTGCAATGCTGCATTTTTTCATCAGGAAATTTGTACCATTTTATGTGTGTGCTGGGGCACCCATGAGAGTGTTTGTTGGTCTGGGAATGTGTACTGCAAAGGCACCAAGTATGACTGCAAGTACGGCAAAGTGGTCACAGCCCACATCACTGCTACAATATTTTGTGATGGCCACCGGCTTGGGACAGCTTTGAAAGTGATAGGCAGATTTCTTCATTATAAGGCTACCATTGTCTGCTAGTCCTTATGGCCGTGTACTATCTCCAACATGCTTCCGAACACCAGTTATTGGAGAAACACCAGTGGGGAGAGTTGCTTCTGTGCTCCTGTCCCACTTGTGGGTTTGCCTGGGATATCTGGCTGACCGCTCTGTGAATAGGATGCTAGACTAGATGTGCCTTTGGTCTGCAGGTCTTATATTCTAAAGGGGCTGACATACTTGGGAAATAAAGAATGCAAGTAAACAGTACATTGCTAAACTGCCAACAGTTCCACCTTTTCTCTGTTGCTGCCCCACATGCTTGATACTGCCTCCTTGAATACCTGCATGATGCAATCTCTCTTACTTCCTTTAGTTCCTCCTCCATACCCACCTTTTCTGTGAAGCTTTTGGTACAACCTCCTAGTTTTCATAAACCTCTGCGACCCAGCCTGTAACTAAGCCTAAGCACACACCACTGAAATAGCTGCATATGACCCCCTTGTTTGCCCCTTCCTCCCCTTCCTTCTGTTGTTTCCCATATGTCAAATTTTGAACTGTTAACTCCGTGAGGCAGGGACCCTATCCTCTGGTATGTTGAAAAGTGCCTTGTACTCTGATGGCGACAAGAAGAAGAGGAGTAAGAAGAAGACATTATCACCATCACAGTTCTAGTAATAATATCCTCTATTCTGCCCCTCTCCCGTAAGTTATTGGATTCCACGTCCCATCTGCCTGGCTGGTGGTCAGGGATGGTGGGAGCAACATAAAGAGGAGGCCTTTCTGTAAATGTAGGACTGATGGTTGGGGCCAGCCTCTGCCTACCTTTCCAGAGAGGAAATTGCCAGAAATTAGTTTCCTGTTAGGTATGCTGAGGCTCTCTATACAGGGAGATCCTGGCAGAAGTAGAAGAGTCAAAAGTTTCAGCTGTACCAACAGCCTAGCTCATATCAGGAATATGAGAAGCTACCACAACTTTTTAATGGCCTCCTGTCCTCCTTCAGATTGCCTTGTTTAATGAGGGAACTACAGAATTACCTCAGATCCCTCTCAGCTTGTTTTGTGGGTTGAGGTTAAAGGGCAGGGAGAAAAGCAATTTGGGCAGGTTAGTTTTCAGCTCTGTAAGCCTTTGGCAGGAAAATAAATAGCTTTAAGAGATTTGCTTCACCACCAGCAGGCTTTCAGAACAGAGGAGCCTTCTGTGAAGCAAACTCCTGCTGGCCATTTAAGAAATTCTTTTGTTCGGGGAAGTAATTTTCCACCGGCTTGTCCTAATGCATCCTTATTAAATAGATATACTCAGACAGCACACTCTTGGGATACTTCAAGCGTGAGGCCTCACAAAAAGCTAAGGAGAAATAAATGCCACCATTTCACAGACAGAAAAACTGGGGGCAAGGAAGGCTAGAATGGTAGTTAGAGTCATAATAAACATTTATATAACACATTACTGTTGAAAGTGCTCCAAGTTTCTTATATCACCACTCCAGCCTTTTTCTTTTTCTAAAAAAGAGCTGTCTCAGTTCTTCTTGGCTGCACCACTCTCCTCTCAAAATGCAGAGATCCAGGAGACATTTCCAATGTTTGGAAGACACTGACAGGTATCTTCCTCTGGCAAAGCCACGAGGGGCAATTGAACAAGGGCTGGAGGACAGGAGGCACCCCTGTAGCCAGATATCCAGGACCAAAATATCTAAAGTTGGGTCAAGCAGGGCAGGACCAGGGACAGCTCCCAGGGCAAACTCACAGCAATAATGGAAGCTAAATAAAAGTCTTGAGGTCAACGGAGCACCTAAATTAAGGGTGGCTAACCTGTGGCAACTGGTCCTGATTTTTTTGAAAACAAAGAGGTGGACCACCATGGTTTGTTGGCAGTTTCAGATCAGTTCTCTTTCTCTCTTTACATAAACAGGAACTCACTCTAGTCTTTAAACATTCTTCTCAAAAAATGTGGTTTAGTGGCAACTTATTTTTAAAAAGTAAACAAACATATATAAATGAATCAAAGCAGGTTGTATGCCATAAAAGGGAAACAGAGATGTGCAGAGGGGTTATAATTCTGATGCAATGTACAATGGCTGGAAAAAACTGACCTGTATCTGAACTTTACATGGACCTCAAGAAGAAGAATTGAGGGTAATTCAATTCTCTCCTCTCATTAGTTGTCATCTTCACAAGGCATTTCCTGGAACTAACTGAAAGGCAGAGGAGGGATGGTAGCCTCTAATCTAGCCAGGCTAGTTGAAAGGGTGTATAAACACACTGGCTGAGTATGTATAGGGTGTGCAGCTGCTCAAGCCAAATGGAAACCGCTTCAGGCAGAATGCTGCCCAAATACGACAGATGGAAACAAAATGCTTCACATGGGATATTAAGAGGACAGAGCGAGCCTAAATTTGTTGCATGTCTTGTGGAAAACGGAACACCATGCATCTTGCATTTCTTTCACTAAAGTAGAGGCCTTGACCTCAACCCATCTGGATATTAGAGTCCCAATCTATGGGTCCTTATGAGCAGATCCTGCCCCATCTCCATTCATTTGCCAGTCAGATGCTTGCTGGTGGCAGTTTTGATTGCGCTGATAAATGGTGGAGGTGGCATCATGAAGGTGACTCAGCACCTCTGTCCAAAAGAGGTCCCTATGCAACGCCTTCCCATCAGATGTCAAAGAAATAAACAACTATCTGACTTTTAGAAGACATCTGAAGGCAGCTCTGTTTAGGGAAATTTTTAAATGTTTAATGTTTTATCGTGTTTTTAATATTCTGTTGGGAGCTGCCCAGAGTGGTTGGGAAAGACAGCCAGCTGGGCGGGGTATAAATAATAAATTATTATTATTATTACTACTACTACCAAAATGGACTCTGCCAGCAGTCTTTAGGTGATGTGCCTGTAATGCAGCAAGGGCCAATGCATGTACTATCCTTGGCGCGGAAAGGATTTATTCTGGCAGAAAGCCAATTATTTTTAAAACATGAGCCACAGCTTCGTGGTCCCCATGACATGCATAGGTGAAGTTCCCTAGGTCCATTCCTCGCCAGTCTCACTTTTAAAGTCCTGCAGTACCAGGGCTTGAACAGACCCCCTACCTGAGGCTTCAGAGCTGATGCCTCTCAGAGCTGAATGCGTTAGAGTTGGGTTTTTGCTTCTGAGGATCAGCTTTGGAGAAAGTGCTCCATGAGGCAGGTGAAAGCCCTTCCTGCTAGCAATTCCCTTTGTGAATTGTGAGTGCTCCCAGCTGTCTCTTGAATCAGCACAGGAGGCCTATCCATCATAGCCTATCTGTGTGGAGGCACCATTATGTTATGTGTTTCCCTGCTTCTATCATCATTCGTTGCTGAAATGGCGCAGGGAAATGCGGAATGCGATGATGTTATGACACGGATAAATGGGGAGAGAGAGGAGAAGGCATCACATTGAAGTGGCAACTCCATCCCAACTTTAATACCTCCTCCTGGCTTTTGTGTGTGCTCTCTGTGGATGACAAATGTGAAAGGAGCAGAAGAGAGCACAAATTCAGGTGCAACCTGACAGTGGTTCCTCCTTACCACCAGTACCTGTTGGCTGTCGGGACCTTGCTTCTTTCAAGTAGTAAAGTGCCTTGTTGTAGTCTCCCAGGTGGTAGAACGCTACGCCTGACCGATAGAGTGCCTTGAAGTTCTCTCCTTCCTTCTTCAGTACTTTCAGGCAATATTCCTTGACTCTCTCGTAATTCACCAGCTCAGCTTGAAGGAGGCAGGCTACGAGAGAAGAGGAAATGAATGACAACATGAGGCTGTTTAGAGAGCTGCTCTTTCCCCTTCTTCACCACTGCTGGGGGAACAGTGAGCGAGAGGTGATGCTGATGACTCAGGAAATGGCACGGCCATTTAGCCTGAGCATCAAATCCAGTTTGTCAGTCCTTAATCTCAAGAGAAATGGCCTATTATTAGATATTTCAGTAAACATACATTGGTAGGTGTTGTTTTCCTTGTAAAAGAGGCAGGGATTCTCTGTGGGCTAGGAAGCAAACATTAGAAAAACAGGTATGTGGCTTTGAATTAGCAAAGGAAAAGTGAATGTGGGCAGTGAATTGTGACCGGCAGTTTCAAAGCAGATCAAAACAAAGGGAGGACTTTAAAAAAAACCCCTGAACATAATAGGTTACTGAGTACAAAGATACACATTATTCCTAATCTTTCTCACTCTTGTGATTTCTCTTTTGATGTTGTGAGTTATGACTAGAGCGAATTAAAAGGACGACAACACACATGCACTAGCAATGCTGCTTCCTTATGTTATAAGGCAAAGGGGATTTCTAAAAGGATGAGGATAGGAACCCAAAATTTGTTCATTGTTCAAAGTTTGCTTTGGGCAGGTCTTATTCATGGACTGCACCCAACTCTCTATACCCCTCTAATAATACTACTACAGAGCACTTTAAAGCCAAGCTTTTCTCATACATTATCTTAGTATCCTTTATCCAAGTTGCCGGGTCAGTATATAACATCCCCCCATATTGCAAATGAAGAGCGGACTGAATTGCCTAAGAGTTCATGGGAGAGACAAGATTTCTCCTGGGCACTCCCAGCTCAGCCTCTGAGTCACTAAGAGCTACTCAACAACTGCTGAAGAAGCAAACCCACTGCGTACACAAAGTGGCAATTGCATAGCAGGAGGCTGTTTTCAGGCTTTGTGGGCAGGACTCATTGGTGGGGCTGCGGTTCAGTGCTAGAGCACGCTGCATTGCATTGCAAATGCATATTTAAATGTCCTGTCTTAGTTTGGCCCCTGAGCTGATCCAAGCAGCAGAAGACTGTGCAGAGCAGGGGACCAGCAGGGGTGACACAGTCCAAATGAAGAGCATCAGTGCCTGCAGGATCAGGCCAATGGCCCATCTAGTCCAGCATCCTGTTCCTGTAGTGGCCAACCAGGTGCTCGCAAGAAGGCCATGCACACAGGACCTGAGGATCCTTGCCACCTGGGATTCCCGACAAGGATTGCCAAGGAATTGTTTTGCAAGCTTCCCATGCAGCTTTAACCCTCTCTTCTCTTGCTCATCTTGTGTCCTTCGCTTCCAGTTCAGTGCAGCCAATCATGAAGCCAGCAGGGCAGGAAGCAGCTGTCTGGACTAGTTACATCTCAGAGAAATGAGCTTTGCAGACTGTATCCCTGTGGTGGTTGTGGGGAGATGCAAACCTGTAAAATGGTGGCTGTCATCAGAGAAGGGCACACACAGCAGATTTCCATAGCAAACTATGCTGCGGTGAAGCCTCAAAAATGATGTGCAAAATGCTTCTTTTATTCACTACTATTCTCTCCTGCCTGTCAAATGCTGATTTCCTGTCCCCACTTCTAACAGAGCTTGAAATGATCTGCAGAGGCTTCCTCTCCCCCTCCCTCTCTCAACACTTTTGCGTTTAAAGTGTGAATTTCATGCTAGAGCCCTTGACAGCTTGGCGACTGCTGTTCTATATTTATGTGTCGAATAACAGGTACAGCATTGGCAGCAGCTGCCCTTGAGGTATCCAAGAGGCCCGTCCAACAGCACTGGAGAGCAATCCCTCAGCATGGGATAGTCTCAGAACGGTCCGGAGAAAGCAAACTTATACGAAGTGTGAAAGGTGAAGAAAGGCAGTGCTACGGGCATCAACACGTTTAGAGTTAATTATCTAGTAGCAGGGAGCTTGCTTTGTACCAAGTGAAGACATCAGTCCATTGAGCTCAGGGTTGTCTACATTTAGGATGTAGAACCTGGTGGCCTCCAGATGTGGCTGGATGGCAACGCCCACCACCCTTGCCATTGGCCATCCTGGCTGGGGCTGAGGGGAGTTGGAGTCCCAACAACATCTGCAGGGGCCACAGATCCCCCACCCACAGCTCATGGACAGCAGCTGTCCAGGGTTTCAGACAAGAGTTTTCTCCAGTCCTACCTGGAGATGGCTGGGGTTGAACCTGTGAGTGTTTGCATGCAAATGACATGCTCTGCCACTGAGCTACACCCCTTCCCTTACAGCAAAGACCTTCAGCCTTCCAATGTTGTTAAACTACAAATCCCATCAAGCTCCACCAGCAAGCCAGTAGAGGATGATGGGAGCTGTAGCCCAACAACATCTGGCAGACCCGCCCCTGCCTAGCAACTCTGTCAGATCTTCACTGATGAGGATTTGCCTGTTCCCCTGAAGAGAGACTGGGCTTCAGTGTTAGAAAGGAGACAGGCCAAACTTATTGATCCCACATCACCATTCTGATTTGGGGTGTGAGAGGCCCAAGCAGGAAGGCTACTTTTTGGAAATGCAACTGAGAGTCAAGAGGGCTGGGCTATATGTCTCAATGGTCTGACTTTAGCATAAGGCAGCTCCCAGTGTTCATCTGATAGCTGTATCACACTTAGGCCATGGCTAGGGGATCTTTCCCAGCTTGAGGTGCTTTGTTCTGTCATGGAGCCACATGGGGTTGCCATGGGGTTGGAAGGGCCAGAGGTAAAAGTGAGTGGTGCAATGGACGCAACTTTTAACCTTTACAGGGTAGGCTACATTTCAGTCACACATAAATAACACACACACACACACACACACACACACACACACACACTTCTCTATCCAGGCAAGCAAGAAGCAATATCACAAGGACCCGTTCCAGCCAAGCAAAAACAGTCAAAGAGAATGTAGAGCAGATGCGGTGGAAGGTGTAGTTTAGGAAGGGAGCATGGCTTAGGAAGAGTCCCAGCAGCCACACTGATAAGGCCCTGAAGGCCACATGAGGCCCCCCAGGCCTGAGGTTCCTCACCCCTGAGTTAATCCTATAGGCATCCTTTCCCACATTGACCCAGTGCTGTCAGCATTCCTTAAAAAGATCCTTTGCATCGCTGTCCCTATTACTAACGACTCCAAAGCACGTCTCTTTAAGAGGTTTCCCATTGCTAGCAGCTTGCAAACAAAGAGGGTTTTTCGACTGCCTCACAAATGACATGCTACTTACAGCCTCCTTGATCGTGTTTGGCATTAATTAGATCCGTTGGCTATACTACTGCTTGGCAGACGTACTGTGGTAAATGGGAAAATTAAAAAAACTAAGTGCCACTTTCCAACTAGCAGCTGATTCATTTAAGTTTCCTATTAGTTTATTAAAATTATGTTAGCTATGCCCTTCAGTGTTCATACAATGTGGCACTAAGTGCAGCAGAATGTGTGTGAGCCTGAAAATCTAGCCAGAATTGATTTGTGCTGCACCAGGCGAGATTCAGGGGCCCAAAGGTAGACTTAGCAATTTGGGGGCATGGGGTGGGTGGAGGCAACAGCAACAACAGTGTAGAATGTTTTCAACTGTTTCTTTTCTGCTGAGATATGTGTTTGGCAGAACAGGCTCGGAATGGGGAAGGAGCTGGTGCATTTATGCCATTTTAAATTTGAAAACCACCCTGCGGCCTTTTGGTAAAGGGGTAGCATAGATATCTCCAAATGTCTTGAATAAATAAAACTACAGGCCAGGGATGGGAAATTAATACTAAGGTAGCCGGGACCTTAAATTCTGAATTTCCCTGCAACCGTGGAATTTCTGGGAGATAAAGGCTTTTGAGGCTATAGCTTCTGATGTGCAAAGATAGGTCAGTGATGGGTTGAAGCCACCAGCCTGGCATGCTTTACTAAGATATGGTTGGATGAAGCAGGAGAAAAACCTACTTTATCTCTGCTGTCTCCCATTGAGTTCTCATGTCTGCAGCAGCCTAGAGAAAGAGTGTGGGAGACAGCGGCCAGTGCAAGGATGAAATCTCCACCATCAGCTTTTGCATGGGGAAAGGTGACCTATATTGTCTCCTTGTGCCCAGTTCTGGATGTGGGAGACAGAACAGGGATTCAGCTAGTGCATCAACCACCCCACCACTCAACAGAAACACATAAGACGAGCCTGCTGGATCAGGCCAATGGCCAATAGCCAAGCACCATGTTTTCACAGTGGCCAACCAGATGCCCATTACAAGATGCTTGCAAGCTGGACCTGAGCATCTTTTCCACCTGTGATTCACAGCAACTGGTATTCAGAGGCATAATGTCTCTGGCAGTGGAGGTAAAACAGAGCCATCATGGCTAGTAGAAGGAAAACCTAAGTTGACAAAAGCTGTTTCAGGCTCAATTTTGAGGACCCTGACTCTGCTGGTAGAAAGGGACATCAGCATCCTTGCAAGGCCTTCTTGTCTAGGACAGATGAGGGTTTCTTTGCCACTGTGACAACTATGGGACTGCCTCTGGGTGCAACTGGACCACCGCATGTCGCAGGTCAGGCACTGGGTTGTCCGCTTTATGCCACGGGCCCTACTTTGTTCCCTGAGAGGCTCCGGAATCATGAAAACTTGACTAAAGTAAGTCTTAATGAGAACCATTTGTCAATTGAAGCAAACAGGTGATTTGTGGTAAGATTCATTTAAAAGGTCAGTCAAGTCCATTCCGTTCAGCCCAGGCTTATGGAAAGGCAAATGAGAAAGCAAGTTCAAGGAAAGAAAGTGTGGCATAGGAAAAGTATGGGCTTGGATGCAACTTCAAAGGCTACCCAGCTTAGAGGAAGTTTTCATCTTTCGTCTTTCATCACATGCGCACAGTGCCTTCTCCAGGGTTTCTGCGGGTTGCAGTTTCACTGTGACTTTTAGCCTTACTTTGTTTGGGTACTGCTCACATTGTTAAAAAAGCTGAAACCATATAAATAATAGGAACTCAGTAGAGGCAAGACCCAGTTCTCTGTATTAACCAGCTTATGTTGCTTTGATGAATATCCCCCCCCCGCCCCCCACCCATCCAACCTCCTCTGCTTTCTGGCCAGTTACTACTGTTCCTTTTGATTCTGGTTGTGGATTTTTTGGTTTTTTTGTTACTGTTGATTAAGCAGGTTAAATGCCCCTGGGAGTTTCTTCATCTCTGTTCCTGTTGTGTGTGTTTTTTAATTACCCCAATCGTCTCTGCCCTCGCTTTTATCTTTCAAAATCAATATTCATCTTGTAGAGCCTGCTGAGGCTCTTCCTTTTCATTTCCTGACTTACTTTTCCTCCTTTTGCAAGGCCTGTCAGGAAGCAGACTCTTAGCTGGGTGTGGACTGGGGGATTGGGGCTCACAATGGCGAAGCTCTGCCTCCACAGCAGAATACCAATAATGGCTGGGAACCACAGGAGGGGAGAGTGCTCTTGGGCTCAGATCCTGCTTGCAGGTTCCCCACAGGCATCTGGTTGGCCACTGTGAAAACAGGATGCTGGACTAGATGGGCCACTGGCCTGATCCAGCAGGCTCTTCTCATGTTCTCATCATGCATGCAGGTTTTTGGGCAGCATCCATGCAATGTTGTTGGCATCAAAATACCAGCCCCTATTCCTCCCCACCAAAAAAATTAAACCGGAGCTTCCTTATCTGGAGAAAACCAAGCAAGCTTTTTTAAAAAAACCTGTTGCCAATTTCCCATTTGCAATATCTCATTTACAAACTAAGTTCCTGCCTGGAAGCACCAGAAGACTGCCTGAAGAACCCCTTTCTTTTCCTTCCTTGCTGCTCTTTCCCAGAAAGATCCCTTGCATCGTTCTGTCCTTTCCTCCTTCTTTCTCTTGGAACCAGCAGTGAGACTATTTAAAGAAAACCATTGAAGTGTAATTTGACCGCTCTGATTTCAGGATCTATGTTCGCTTGTTTTGAAATCTCATTCCCTGCTCCTAGTGGTGTACACATACACATTTCACACACCTGACAAAGCAGGCTCTAGTCTTGTCCATTTACGCCATAATACTGTGATCATCTCCAAGGTGCCAGAATACACTGTTGTTTTTACTGCAGCAGATGATCGTATTATTCCTAAGGGATGCTAGTCTCTTGTGAATGTCTTTGCTGACTGAATCCTATGGAGAAGCTGAGAGCTTCATTACCTGCATTACAACAATCCTGAAAGAAAAAGACAGGACAAAACTCAGAGCCTCAGAGGCTCACCAAGGCTCCCTGAAGCGGTCCAGTCATGGTTCTCTGGCTATTTTGTATGCTCTGACTGAATGAACCTCTCAAGTAAGTGGCTGACCACACTGCTGTTGTTTGCAAAAGAAATGGGCAGCCAAGTGGCAGATATAGCCATAGAAAGTCTGGTTTTGATGGTTCTCACTTCCGTGTACAGTGGTACCTCGGGTTACATACGCTTCAGGTTACAGACTCCGCTAACCCAGAAATAGTACCTTGGGCTAAAAACTTTGCTTCAGGATGAGAACAGAAATCACGCCACAGAGGTGGCGGGAGGCCCCATTAGCTAAAGTGGTACCTCAGGTTAAGAACAGTTTCAGGTTAAGAACAGACCTCCAGAACGAATTAAGTTCTTAACCCGAGGTACCACTGTAATGCATTTAGGATTTTAGTGCCTTAAAGGTGTATGTATGGGGTGTGTGAGGTGTTAGGAGAGCGGTAGAATGTCATACTCCTTCTGGGGTAGTTTGTCCACCTTTGGCCTCCACCCTGCACTCAGCAGCCACAGCCTGGAAATGGCTTTGACAGGCCAGCTAAACCAGGTGAGGGTAGCCAATGGGTTTCAAACCCTTGGTGAGTTAGGAACTTCCCTGTTGCATCCTCCTCATGCAGCCCTGCAGCATCACAAAGCAGTGTGGGGTGGTAGAGGTTGTTACACCCACCAAGGGCCACGGGCGGGCAGAGGCGCAGCACAGCGTAGCGCTGGCGAGGAGTAAAATGCGTCCCTGAAATGTGCTTGGGGCCACCGCCCCTCTGGCTCTCCTCATGCGATGCCACTGGTACCATGGGAGCATCACCAGCAAAAATCATGAGGACGGGTTAGGGTCAAAGGAATGACCAGAGGCACTGTGGGAGCAGCTGAGGGTGTTGCTACATTAGCTTTGGTATCCAATGGATTCTTGTGCTTTGAACTTTGCTGCTGGGAGAGCACGGGATCGTGACTAGTATGGCACATTGGTGTAAAGCTTCAGGGTTAATGTATCCATACTATCTGTTAAAAATGACTAGTCCTAGGGACAGAATAGTTCCTAGTCTTCACGCCAAGTGGACTGAAATCCTTTAATGCCACAATGGGTAGGACTGGTTTGTTTACACATACAAAAGATGCTTATCCACAAGGCTCCAGGATGGCTGGCGTGGTGTTGCTGTGTTACTCTGACTTCCCTAGAGGATACTCACACAAAACCAACTTGAACGGTTCAATTGTTTAAGGACAGAGCAGCCTTGGATTTGAGCTACAGTTGCTACAAAAGAGAAAGAACACACCAAGAACCATTTGCCCTTGGAGATTGTGATACTGAATCCAAAGGGAGAAGTCCCTGACCCATACTCATAGGCTTGGTTCAGACATAATGCTCAGCCAAAACGTGGCTGAGGGTGAAGCAGCAGACCTGCAGGTGCTCAAAGGGGAAATGGCTGCCACTTTGCTCCTTCCCCAGTCTACACTACCTGGAGCTAAGCTTATATTTGGCTCAGCATTATGTCTGAACATAATGCTGAGTCAAACCATAATGTTACAGTCCGTGTAGCTCTAATGAAGCCATGCACTTAGGCCAATGTTTATTCTTGGCTTACCACTTGTGCTTTGTCTAGATGACAGATTGTGAGTCTTGGTTTGGACGACATGCTGAACCAAACCATAGCTTAGCTCTAGGTAAGCACAGCAGGACCAGAGCTGCCATCATCTTTCCTCTGGGCACCTACATAGTTGCATAACATGCCAATTTATTGCACACCTTCCCGATTGCAATATGCTGTGAAGGCAGCCCATCATTATGTATTGGTTATTCCCCATCCCGTCCTCCATTTGAGAGGACAATCGGAGAATATATTTAAATCCCAAAGTTGCTAATTTTGGTCTTCTGATTGTTGAATGCTAATCTCAACCCATAACCGTAAGCCTTTGCAGTTAAAAACAAGCAGCACCTTCAGCCACGGTGCCTAATGGCCCTCTTCAAACTCTTTAGATTAAAAAAAAGAAACATTTATTCTGTTAATTAAGATGAAAATTGGAAAGGGTGTAATTAATTAATTAAACCTTGCAACCCCGCCCCCGCTGAGATGGTAAGTAAGCTTCATTATCTCATTTTGATAGTGCCAGCTCAAGATCACAAAGCCTGTGAGTCAGGAATAAAACCCAAAGCTGTTGATTCACAACTCTGTACTTAATCTGCACAATAAACATCTTTGTTCTTTTCTTCCTTTTGGCTCTTGCATTTCTCTGAGCATTGGGAAATGGACAAAAGAATGGGCTATTAGGTTCTGCCAAGTCAGGGTTGGTTTTAGCCCTAAGGTCATGTTTCTGCATGGAAGATATTTTATTTACTGATGATTGATTTGTATTTCTAGCCCACACTTGATACAATGAATGATCCCAGGACATGTTGTTGTTGGCATCGATCTGTCTCGATAGACAATGGAGTGCGCCTCTGGGGGTGAAGTCAAACAGCTGTGTTAGCAGCCCCAAAGTGACCTCCTCTGGGTACAAGCCTGGGCAGTGTGTATGGAGGTCCTGGGCTACCCAGACGACAACACCTCCAAAGTCCAAAGCACAAGAATCCATTTGAAACCAAAGCTGGTGTAGCAACACCATCAGGCAGTCTGGTATAGGGAGTGTATCTTTGTCCTAAACCATTTAGAGCTTTATAGAATGGCATTAAAACCATGAATTGGGTTCAGCATATAGGCAGCCAGTTCAGATGCTTTCGAATCATCAAAATATCACATGGTGCTTGTGGAATAACGGTACCATTTTTTTAAAAAGCTGTAATAAAAGTGATAAGGGATATAGTGGATAATAATTTCCCTTTGGATATTACTACTACTACTACTCACCCTTCACCAATAGGTCTCAGGACCGGTTATAAGAATTTAAAATTCATAATTAAAAACAGTTAAAACAATGAAAAACAGTTAAAACTGTTAAGTATTCTAAAAATTCAGTTAAGATATTTAAAAGATACAGTACCTAAACAAACTTTGGCACTAACGGAAAAGCTGCTAGTAACTGCTAAGTTCAGGAAATGCAACAAAATGTCCTTACCTTATTCATTCCCAAAGAGTCTTATAATGGGGAGCGGGAGAATATTAGGGTCAGCAATAGTCCCATTTTACGGATGTATACAGACCATGGACAGTCCCTAAGGATGATCACACGCTCCATCCCTGCATGAAAACCACTCAGGAGGGGATTGCAGAGCAGCCTAGCCCTGCCCCTGCCACACCCACCAACCAGAGCTCACCTGCCAGTCATACATTCAGCAACTGTAAGAAGGGACCCTATGCATACATGAATGTGCACATGTAGATGTAAGCGGATAACCTAGGACAATCTGGAGTTTACCTCTACCATCCGAGGCAGCATGCTTCTGAATACCAGCTCCTGGCAATCACAGTTGGGGAGAGAGCCATTGGGCTCATGCCCGGCTTGCCAGCTTCCCATAGGCATCTGGTTGGCTGCTATGAGAACAAGAGGCTGGACCAGACACAGGCCTAATCCTGCAGCACTCTTCTTAATATTCTTATGCAGATCCATTCATACATGCCTAAGGCCCCTCTCGTGTTCACTGAAGATATGCTTAGAGGAAGATGTAGCCAGCAAGCAGAGAAAAACACTTGTTTGTGAGATGTTGGTCCCTTTATGCCTGCTATTAACATGCGAGGGAACTCCTCTGAAACTCCCCTCTCTTGTTTTCCGCTTCATCAATGTTTATTGTTCTGATATGTTTACAGGAAATAATACTTTCCACATCAGAAGCAAGGTGGGCAGGAGATGGAAAGCAGCAAACGGTGAACAGTGTGCCTTCAATACTTCCAACAAGAGGTTAAGGACAGCTCAAGAACAGAAATAGATGGAGGGGTCACCTGTGATTCAATAATGGATAAAAAGAGCAGGCAAAACGGTGGAAATGAGCAATTATTCACTTGAGCCGTTATTTGGTTATTTGTTACTGACTGGGAAAGGGCCATTAGAATCTAACCTACTGACCCAGCTAATCTCAGTTTTGTGGCAACATCAAGACGTCGTTCCCGCCCCTTCCCCCTGTTGTTTGTGGTTTCATTCTGACAGAGGCAAAAGAAGGTCAAGTCCTTCCCTTGCTCAAAGTCACAGACAGGCAATGAGTCATAACCAAATGGTTGCTCGGAGCTCTGTTTGCCTTGTAATCATATGCCGACATGAAGGGATTTAGTTTTGCAGGAGGGATTTTTAGGTTTCGTAGGACCTGCCCTAACCATTTCAGGAAGCAGCTGCCTTGGTTATGTGATGGTAATGATCAGTAAACTAGCTTGGGCTTTGAATCCTGTTCTCTCCCAGGTCCACGTACTCTATTTAGCAGATCAAATGGGCAACTTGTTCAGAAGAACATAGTCAAGCATCTTTAAGAGCAATACAGGTGTAGCCAAGGAACTTCGCTTCCTAGGACAATCAACAAACAGGCAGTGGTGAGAGCAGTGAGGAGGCAGGCCTACTGATGGAGGGGGCACCACCGAAAGCACCTTGCTGAAGTCCCCACCCACCCCAGATCTGTGGGCAGGCACTCACAGCGGAAAAGCAGCAGGAGAAAATGGGTGCCTGCTTCTGCCAGCCTAAAGAGTTCCACATACCTTCTGCTCCCCTCATCCTTTTTAATGAACTGTGTGTGTCTGCAGTGTCACCTGCTCCAAGGATGGGTAGATGGGAATGCATCCTAAGAAGCATCTTTAGCCATACCAGCCACCTCCTCACACATTATCCCTTCTTCTGGTACATCAACTCTGCCACACACATACACAAAATAGGCTTCTAGTGATGAAGATTTTAGCCTGCCCTGTCCTGTTTTGTTTGGTGATGGGCACTCCATTTTGATATGCCAAGCTTCCTTCAAATGCACTGTGACACCCCCCGACTTGAAACACTGCGCTGAAGTCACTACAGCTGTGCTCCCTTTTGTAGCTGGAGACATTGGAGGGGCAGGAGATCATGCGTTACTGTCAATTTTTTTATAAGGTATGGAACGGTCGCCAGGGAAACCTTGTTGGCTTGACCCACCAATAAACTATGCCAGGTTGTTTGGATGTCAGCTAATTTAGTCCCATTAGTGTCAATGCATATCTGTATTTCAGTGATTTGTGGATGAGACTGTCCTTGCTGCTAAGGTTAATTATGCTGTCCTCTAACAGGCCAGTTGGTTGCACTGACATGGCAAGGTGACTTGGGATGTCAAGCTATGCAGAAGGGAAGCTGGGTGCATTCAGAGGAGCCATGGCAGGCAGGAGTACTAAGATGGCAGAAATAGGAGGAGATGGATCAATGGAGTTGCCCTGGATAGGACAAAGCAGGTCAGAGCAAAAGGCATCTTTTATGCCATTCTGAAAGCATTCTGACCCTTATGAAATCATGTAGGTCTACACAGACCTGTACACCTGATCTACAGCAGTGTGTACTACTGCGGGATTCATTCGGAAAGGACGGCACACAAACTTGTCTCACTTGCATGGTACACAAAACGATGGGCTGGTAACTGTCAGTGGGCATCCTTGCCACTCCAAGGCAAAAAGCCCTGTGGGAACATCGAGGGAAAGTGCAAGAAATGCGCTCTCCCCTCTGTTGTAGTAAAATGTGGAAGGAACAATAACAAAGCCATACAAGGAATTAGAAAAAGCACGTCGTATCATATGCCGCTATTGTGATGCAAAACAGTTCTGAGCACCCGGGTAGACATTTTCAGCAAGGGAACTTGCAGGCTCAGCGGAAAGGCTACCAGCACTGCCAAAACGTCACCCAAAGCCATTTCAGATCTGTTTGATTGGCATCTCTGTACTGACGATCATGCAGATGTTTTCCAGTTAACAATATCTATTTTTCAAAACTAGGGAGCACTTCAGCATTTGCTGAATTATTAATGCCGCAGCCCTGATAATGTATATAGTACCATGCAAGCACAAAGTGCAATAGGAGAGGGAAACAAATCAATGTGTGTAGTGTTGCTTCTTTTCACAAAAGAGGAAGAATTAGCCTTGGATAAGGATAGCAATGTTGCAGCATTTCTACATATACAAGAATGAATTGGGGGGTGGGGTGAGGACAACCCAAAGTCATTTGATGTTCTCTCTCCAAAATGTTCCACTACAGCAAAAAGAAAAATTGCATGTTGGATGAAAAGAAGGGATGACATTTCACAAAATCATCAAATGTGTTTTGAGAGAAGCTAATTGCTGCTTTGACTTGCAAGTGAAAGAGTTTCAGCCTTATAGCTTCAGGGGGAGTTCACACATATATGTTTATCGTTCCTTGACTGCAACATCCCAGGAGGGGTTGAATGCAAGAAAAAGCTACTGCAGATCAAACGCCATAAAGAGACCTTGCATTGCCTCTGACAACATTCAAATGCCAACCTTCTCAAAGGAGGCAATTCACATGTTCGGCAGTGAGCATCAACTGATTTACAGGCACATGTTAAACGGTTCCTAGGTGTATGGAGATCCAGCAGACCTGAGAAACATGCAAAAGGTAGACAGGAGAGGAGCAAGAGAGCTTTCTGAATTCTTGGTTTCTCATGCCTCTGTTCTGTGAATGCAAAGTGCAATTCATAGAAAGATCCTTTTCTATGAGAAATTGAACCCTTTTCCAGAGCTCCTGTGGGCACAAAAAGGCTACTGTGCCCTGCTCCTTTCCCCACCCATGTCAGAGCAACCCACTGGCCACTGTTTCTTCCTAAGAGCTGGAGAAGGAGAATTGGCACCCAGCAGCGCAAAGGATGCTGCTGCACCGAGCAGGGCTGTATAGCTCTGCCAGCACAACAAAGCAATCAGCTGCCTTGTCTTCCCAAGGTAGGAATCTCATTGCCAGACCTTTGGAGCTGTGCCACTCTCAGCCATCGTAGCTCACGGGAGCAGGCCAGAGCTCTCTCGTTCAGCTGACCCTCTCTTGACAGGGTTTTCCAATTGTCTTTGCCCTACTCAAAGTGTTTCCAAAGTGCAAAGACTGGATTGGCCAGTCTTTGCCATCTCATAGGTCACAGTCAACATTTTTTGTTATTAATAATTGCATGCCTTACAAAAAGCACAGAAACAAATCTGCCAGTATAGAACAACTGCCATCCTTTTCATGGGGCTGTCGCACTCTTCTCTACACCAAAGTGCTTTAGGCTTCTTATACATTCATAGCATATAGTCAATAAAATGTGTATTCAAAAGCTTGAGAAAGAGGGCAGGACAAGAAAGAGAAACTTGCATATGATCCCCACTGTATCATCTCTCTCTCTCTCTCTCTCTCTCTCTCTCTCTCTCTCTCTCTCTCACACACACACACACACACACACACACAGATCTAAGGTCAGTTTTGGTTGGAGTAAATACTGCAGGAACAGAATACAACTGTTTGTAAGTTGCACATCCAGGCTTGGCCACAAGTTCCTGTTGGTTCCCCACAGCTGGCACAAATTAAAATTTAACTGACCTATTTGATATCTACAATTAAATCAAAAACACTCGACATATGTGATGGTGACTGATCCTAAGACAGACAAGTACTCCGCTCCCCACTGCAACACTCCTCATACCAAATGACTGAACTGAAGCCATGGTAAAAACAATTGCAGGAAACAGGCAGGCGGAAAAAGCTGGTGTATAAGCTCGGAGGACGGAAAGCACTTTCAAGTCCCCCGACATCAGAGCAGCTGCCCCACAGAACTGCAGGTTCCTATTTACACAGCTCTTGAAAGACATAAAGAACAGAGACGTTAACCCCACTGCATGACGGGTTTTAAGAGTTAGAACATTGCTAGGCACCATAGTTGGCTTTGCTTGTTTTGTCGACTGCTCCAACTTCCAAGAGAGATCTGCTGGATGCTGCCCCTCTGTTCCTGTCCCCCTCTCTTCACCACACAGTTATGGGAATTTTTCCCCCCCAACCACCACTGGATTTCTTCCAATTTATCTCTTCTTTAGTGGAGCCTCTGGCTTAACCTCTTGGTCTCCTGACACAAATTATACACCATGACCTAAGAACTTTGCTGTTGCTTCCCTACTCTCTAAACACGCATCACTGCTGTTGTGCTCCCTCCTCTCCTTTTGTGTGTGTGTGTGTGTGTGTGTGTGTGTGTGTCAGAGAGAGAGAGAGAGAGAGAGAGAGAGAGAGAGAGATCTGCTGCCACTGGACCTACACTGATGCTAACTTTCCCTTGGTGACCCATTCCAGAGGCAGAGCTGTGTTATTTGGCTGCAACGAAAAACAGCAGAAAGAACCCACAGACCTTAAAGATGAAGGACCTCTCCTGGTGTCCCCCTTATTGCACATCTTATGGTTATTTGTAAAAGATGGTATAAGGACATTTATATGCAATCCCATTTTCAATCCTGCCAACACCTGCAAGAGTTTTGGGGAAGACAGACTTCGTTTCCAGACAGGGAACATCCTGTAACTTCCTGATGAAATCCTGTGACTTTTCATATCCCCCATGTTCCAGGGCTGTTTTTGCTCTGCTTTTGCAGCACTGTGCGCAAGAGCGCACCTCCGGAAGGCAATAATGCAGTATCATTTGGGAAGCATCGCAGAGCGATTAATAAAGCAGAATGATGTGTGGACAGCCGGGTATAAATCCACCACTAATGCCCTGTTATTGCCTCGATGACATGTTGCAGAAAAACACCCGTCTGGAGGGGCCCTGACAGATTTATTGTGGCTTCAGCTTTCCTGGAGCAGGGCCCGCTTTGGCAGATGCATGAAGTGTTACTCACAGTCAACAGATACCTATTTCTATCTGTCAACTAGGGACAACGCAGCATGCATCTGACAGGATACTGCCTTACACGGAGTCAGATCATTCAGCCATCTAGCTCAGTCTTGTCCACACTGACAGGGTTTCTCTCATCCCTACCTGGCAATGCCGGGGATTGAACCTGCGACTTGCAGCATGGAAAGTAGATGCTCTGCTGCTGAGCTAGGCTTTCCCTTGACAAAGCTGGCTCTTGTCCATGAAAGCCTATGCCAGGAGAAAAATGTATTCTTTACGGTTCCACAAGACAGACAACCTCCTCCTCTCTATCCCTCTCTAATGCTAAAATATACTGTAAACGGCAACCTTCTGGGGCAGAGACCTACCTCCACGATTATTTTACTTTGAGAAAGTTCCCTGATGTATTGGCCCGCACGTTTGCACACTCAAGCATTAGATATTGGGGCTCCTGGCAGTAGTTCTATCGCCTGCTGGCTCTTCCTAATAAATAAGACTAGGAGGCAACATGCAACGGAGACCTGAGAGAGCCGTCTGCCATCCTGAGCAAGGAGCGTTTAATCTGCTGCCTCGTTGGAGGGGGGGAGGGGGGGAGACCTCCTGAAACGGCTTGGAGAGGCGGCCTCTCCTGACCCTGGGGAAACCGGAGGGCGGCCTCCATCTGCACCCAAGTCCGGAATTCCGGCCATGGGGTGGGAAGGAAACGGCACCTGTCGTCGGCGCGGCGCTTTCCAATCGACCTTGCAAGCAGGAGGCTAGACAGGGCACATTTCCCCATGATCCCTCCCTCGTTCCCCGGCGCCCCTCACGCTCTGCTCTCCGGGCAAAGTTTATTTCCAGGTGCCGTCGGGGCGAGAGCAGCGGAACGGCGCGCCCCCCTCGAGTGATCTCCCGCCAGAAGGAAGGAAAGAGCCCCTTTGCTGACCTGCCAAGCTGTTGTAACAGTCGATCTCGATGCTCTCCAGCAGCTGGCTCTGCTCGCCCGTGAGGCTTCTGCCCAAGCCGCCGCCGCCGCCGGATGAGGAGGACGAGGGCGCGGCGGCGGCGGCGTCTCCGTCCCCGACGTCGTCGTCCTCCTCCTGGGCCAGCAGCAGCCCCTTGAGCTCCAGCAGCGCGCGGTGGTACTTGCCGATGGCCTCGCGGAATTTCTTCTCCTTGTAGCACTGCGCGCCTTGGCTCTTGAAATCCAGAGCCCTGCGGATCAGCTCGTCCGGCTCGGCGCTCTGGCTGCCCCCGCGATGCAGGGCGCCCACCGACGACGACGGCCCTGCGCCCCGCGCGCCGTCCGGGGCCGTCCGGCTGCCCGCGCTGGGCTTCCCGGCCGCGCCGGAGCACTGCCGCTCCATGCCCGCCGCTGCCTCGCTCCTCGCCGCCGCCTTTCGCCCTGCCTGCCCGCCCGGACACTCAGGCGGCGGCGCCACAGCCTCCCGTCTGGCTGCGGCTGGTGGTGCCACCTCTCGGCTGGGCTCGGCTGCTCGCTCCCATCCTCCCGCGGCCAGGAGGGAGACGCCGCCGCCGCTCCTGCTGCTGCTGCTGCTCCTCCTCCCCGCGCGCGCCGGGTGTCTGGCTGCTGCCGCCTCCCGCGTCGTGTTATGTTGGGGCGAGGATTGCGAGGGGGGCAATGCTGGCTAACCCGGAAGGAGCTTCTCGCTTCACACGCGGGAGGGAAGGCGAGGAGGGGGGCGAGGATCAGCTCAGCTCAGCTCAGTCCCCGAACACGAACTCATTCACCGCCGCCAGGAGAAATGGGCGCTCCGGAACTGAGGTGCGACGAGAAAATCTGAGGCGGCGACGCAGGCAGTGGAAGAGTAGGCAAAGGAGCGCGCGGCAAATCGGGGGGACGGACGCCGCGCGCGCGCCGCGGCGACCTACCTTCCTCGCTGTTTACAGCCTAGGTACGCGAGCTCTTAAAGGCGCAGGCGGCGCTTTCTGGTTAGGGGCAGGAACCGGAGAGGGGGGGGCTCTCCGGGGCCTGCGCTTGGCTGTGGGAGAGGAGCGGGCGGCGCCTGCCTCTGGCACGAGGGAGACTTGTGCGGGGTTCCCGCAAAATGGGAGCTGCGCTGAGCAGCTGGCGCGAGGACGCGAAGCTCAGGGGGCCAGTGGCGGGACGGCTGAAGTCCAACAGGTGGAGGGCATGGTCGGTCCATTTGGTTTCAGAGCCCAAGAGCTGCCTTGCGCGGAGTCTCGTCGGTACAGTGGTACCTCGGGTTAAGTACTTAATTCGTTCCGGAGGTCCGTTCTTAACCTGAAACTGTTCTTAACCTGAAGCACCACATTAGCTAATGGGGCCTCCTGCTGCCGCTGTGCCGCCGGAGCACAACTTCTGTTCTCATCCTGAAGCAAAGTTCTTAACCTGAAGCACTATTTCTGGGTTAGCGGAGTGTGTAACCTGAAGCGTATGTACCCCGAGGTACCACTGTATTGTCCACATTGAGTGGCAGCAGCTGCTTTTCAGAGGACATTCCCAGCCCTACCAGGAGCTGCTGGGGGAATCAAGCCACCACGGGCAGAAGGGCAGCTGCCCCCCCATAAAATAAAATAAAATAAAAAGAATCAATACAAATCTGAGGTTCTGCCCTCCCAACAAAAGCCTGTCCCTCCCCCCCAACAAAAATCCTGTCTATGCCCATGGATCCAACCTGGGGCTTTTTGCCTGCAGAGCCTTTTCTTTCGTCCTCAAATGGCTCTGGGTCTTTGGAAGGCCTGTCCTTCGTGTCATAGAATCAAAGAATTATAGTGTTGGATGGGACCGCAAGGGTCATCTAGTACAACCCCCCCCCCCCCGTAGTAGTAGTAGTAGTTATTTTATTTATACCCTGCTCATCTGGCTGGGTTTCCCCAGCCATGGGGTGGCTTCCAGAAAAATATTAAAAATAATAAAATGTCAAACATTAAAAAAATTCCTGCTATAGGGCTGCCTTCAGGTGTCTTCTAAAATTTGTGTAGTTCTTTTTCTCTTTGACAAGTGATGAGAGGGCGTTCCACAGGGAGGGTGCCACAGCCAAGAAGACCCTCTGCCTGGTTCCCTGTAACTTCACTTCTCGCAGTGAGGGAACCTCCAGAAGACCCTCAGAAGTGGACCTTAGTGTCCGATAATCTCCTTCCTGTTCCCACTGCTCAATAAGGCTTAGTAGGTGTCCCACAATTTGAAATGTTGGACCAGAAAATCATACATCTTCCTAACTACAACTTTCAAGGTGTCCTTACCTCTTGAACCTCCTGCACTGTTATCGTAAGAACATAAGAAGAGCCTGCTGGATCAGGCCAATGTCCCATCTAGTCCAGCATCTTGTTCTCAAGGTGGCCAACCAGATGCCTGTGGAAAAGCCGGGATTCAAGCAGGAAGGTATTCTCTCCGCCTGTGGTTTCTGGTAACTGGTATTCAGAAGCATTATCGCCTCCCAACTGTGAAGGGAGATCATAGCCATCATGACTACTAGCCCCTGATAGCCTTTTCCTCAATGCATTTGACCATCCCTTTTGCTGGCCCAGTTGTACACACTCTCCCATGCTTACCCACAACCCCCTCAGAACAGAGTCACAAGCCTCTCCCAGTCCTACAAGTTCCCACATGCTTCCACTCTGCCCAGGTCCTTGGCCATATTAACTTCTGCTTAAGGCTGTGTCCAAATGGCACCTTTCCCCTATTTCCATTGTGACTGGATTCAATTAAAGTGGATTTGGAGCTGTTGTGCAATGAACCACTCCCCCCCCCAATAATTAGTTGTTTCTTGTGGTAAATAAAGTGACGAACTGCACTGGGAAATGTGGGGTAACATTTGTGGCTTGACATGGCATGGTGGTGTAACCCCTCCACAAACAACTCAGATTGAATGCTCACTAAACAGCTGGTGCCTTATAACCTCTATGCAGACTTTGTGCAAACAGGTCAGGGTGAATGCTTAAGCGCTCAGCAATTTTGTTCTCAGGGTGGCCTGTGGGAAACCTATAAGCAGGTCCTGAGCTCAACAACACAGTCTTTGCTGAAAGCGTATTCTTTAGTACAAGCAAACTTGAAAGCCTCATTATCACCTCTTGCCAGACCAAGGAGGCTCCATAAATGATCCCTGTGCTCCCAACTGGTGATGTCATTGCTCCTGCTCTGAAAATGTCCCAAAGTTCTGCTCTCCTGTGTTCCCCCTTCATTATGCCATGGTTATTACCAGTAACTACTACCAAAGCCCAGCTGCCCAGCTGGAAAAACTTTGTCCCCCTCCCTTCAAGATTAGCAGTTCCCCCAAGCTACAACAACAACAAAAATGATATGAAGGACTTCCGTATGCATATGTGTGCATACATGGACACATGGGATAGATTGTTTGCAAATATAGGTCTAATTGAAAGAAAGTAAAGGCTTGAGGGGTGCTTGCGTGTGTGTTTCTGCAACAAATAATGGTGTGTGTGGTAGAAACCAGAGACAGAACCTGTGAGCCTTAATCATATAAATTACAGATAGGGTGTGTGGGTGTGTCATAGAAGTAAAATAGACGAAAATCCTACTAGACTGCCGTTAGTCATCTTTTGGCAATTATCTCCAGTTCAGGTATAAACGACTCAATCAGTCTCTTTGTTGATTGCATTTAATTGCATTTTGATGAATTCCATGCAATAAAATGCACAGTGCTGGATTTTAGAGTATTCTCTTTGCCTAAGGAGGAAAAGGAAATTGTCCCAGGGAGTTAGCAATACTTCCATTATAATAGGTGTCAACACTTATCTGACATTGTCCACAACAAACAAGGCAAACAAGGGCTTAAGGGGAAGATGGTAGTGCCAGGCAGACTTTCTCAAACATGGCAGGATTTACTAGTGCAGAAAAAGCTAGACAGATAAAGCCTGGAGAAGGAGATAAAATAAGCGGGTGGAAGCACTTAAACAACAGATAAAGAATTTTAGCATCAGCATAGCAGGGCTATAGACCATTCAGATAAATGATGATGTCTGTGTGTTTTGCATTATAGACTTGTTACAAATGTCACATCCAACACACACATACACACACACACTGCGCTCTGGTTAGTCACGGATAGTCTTATAATGTACTGTCTAACTGAGCAAACATTTTCTCTGCTCAAAAAGCTGCTGAAGAACATCAGTTTTACTATGTAGAGTATCTTCCTTTTGTATGATGGCTGGGCCAACGAACAGAGTGTCAATCTTGGACCTGAGACCCTGCTTCCAAAGTCAGGCTCAGCCATGAAGTCACATGATATCCACCATTGGCAAGTTGCTCTTAGTTTCCTGTTGGTAAAATGGATCTAGCAGAGATGGGGATGGGAGGGAGCCTTATTCCATGCTAGACCGTTTGTCTGTCCTAGCCTGGCATTGTCTCTACACAATCCTATATATAAGAATAATTTCAAATCTATTGCAGACTGGGATAATATTCTTCACTTAAAATGTTTGTTTCCTTACAACAACTCTGTGAGGTAGGTTAGGCCGGGAGACTGTGACTGGCCCAAGGTCACCAAGTGAGTTTCACAGCTGAGCAGGGATTTGAACCTTGGCCTCCCAGATCCTAGTCCAATACTCTGACTGTTACACTATGCGCACTCTCTTTTAAACATGATTGCAATCTGTCTGTTGCTCTTTGACCACCGGGGCCTTAGTCCCTGCATCCAGATCTTTTGTTTATTTGTTGTTTAAACCCAACAGTGCACACGCAGGGAGTTTTGCAGCATGAAAATAATTAGAAAGTAGTCAGGCTGCTTCCCCAGGGAGCTGTCAGGATGCTGTCAGCGGCTCCTAGCTGGTCACCTAGGAAAGTATAAAGACAAAGGAAAGTTTCTTACAGTCCTTTTTTATTTAAATCTTTACAGAACCCAGCCTCTTGGATAATGGTGTTGTCGCGAGTGAATCTTCACCCCGTCTCTCCCACTTGCTCATTCGTCACTTCTACAGGTGCTGCTAGGTGCCCTTTGTCTTTGAGCTCTTTGCTCTCCTACTTTTAAGGCTCGCCGGGTTCTGGGAGATGGAGGGTCTGGAATGCTCTCTAATGACGACGTGTCAGCTGGGTGTTGTTCCGGCTCTTCCATGATTTCCCAACTTTCCCCCTCATCTGCCTCTGAGCTGTGACCTCCCTCAAACCCCTGTTGTAAATTTATACTGTCTTCCTCTTCCTCCTTCCTGGAAGGGTCAGGGTGGGGAGGCAGTCTCCACCATTCCTCCTCTGCCCAATCCCTGACAGGAGCATACAATCTAAAGTCTGGTGGAGCCGGGGTGAGAAAAGAGGGAGGGGTGAAGCAAAGGTATCAAGGGATGAATGGGAGCACAGGCAGTTTCATGTAAGCGTGTTATTTTCTTGCAATTACTTAGGTTTAAAGAATTAAGAACAGATTGGTACATCTCCTAAAGCAAAACAGAAGAAGAAGAAGAAGAAGAAGAAGAAGAAGAAGAAGAAGGAGAAGGAGAAGAAGAAGAAGTAGTCTGGGCAGAGGGAGGGGGTTGGGTGATGACTAGGACAAGGATATATTCAGCCTTTCCTTGTCTGTGACTATCTACTTAGTCAGCATGTTTATGGCCACAAAAGGCAGTGTTTGTTGACTTTAAGAGTTTTAGGGACACAATGCAAATGGGACGAAAAGTCTGTCCATGTCCAAACATGAATGGAAATGTCCATCAAGGTATTTATTGTAGAGATAGGCACATTCCAGGGCGTGGCTGATACTTTTTTTTTAAGGTTACCACTGATTTTGAAACTCAGGTAGCATATAGATTACCAAGCAGGGGAGTCTAGTCTATGGAGTAGATGTTTATTTGAGCAGCTCTCTTATCATAGCCAACTTACAAGGCAGAGACCTGAGAAGGCATTTGTGGATGAAGGTTTAAACTAAATATTTTTGGACTGGTAGGTTGGAAAATACACATTAAATGAGAGAGACAACTCACTCTGACCCGGGGGCAACCTGGCTTCTGTCAAAGGAGTGGTTGCCTAGGTCATCTGAATGCTTGCAGTGCAATTTCAGAATGAGCCATCCTGATTCAGAGAAGTATTAGACATGCACACAATACCTTACGCATTATGGCATCATCATCCAGTCTATGAAGAGTACTGTATAGACTTACCCAGGTAAATATCAGATCGACTCCAATGCTTTGGGCAGAGAGGTAAGGGGGGGGAAATCCCAGCCATTGCATCTGCCAGTGTAACGTTTAAAAAAGCACAACATTTAACCACTCTCTACAAGGAGGCTGATTTTGCATTAAATAAGTGGAATCTTTTGTATATGATATACATATTTCTAAATAATTGCCTAAACACTAAACACTGTAGAAACACTGGTTTCTAAATCATGAAGGCTGCAGTCTGAACAATGTACAGCTTATTTCCAGTTGTCTGGTAATGTTTTGGCATTTTTGTTTGTTTAAAATGAAGGTTTTTAAAATGAAACGCCTCCTCTGCCTCCTTGTCCCAGGAAAACTGCGTCTTGGGGCGCAGTAGCCGGGTCAATGGGGTTGTGCGATGAGCATAATCTGCAATGAAGGTCCGGTAATAGTTGGCGAACCCCAGGAATCGCTGTAGGTCCTTGAGGTTCCGAGGTGCCGCCCATTCCCGAACCGCTGCCACCTTCCCAGGATCCATCTGCACCCCATCTGGAGAGAGTTGGTGACCAAGGAAGTCCACTGACCGCTGATGGAACTCGCACTTGCTGAGCTTCGCATACAGGCGGTGCTCCCGCAAGCGCTGCAGCACGGTCCGGACATGACCCTCGTGGCGAGCCGGGTCACGGAAGAAAACCAAAATGTCATCCAAGTACACCACCACGTACTTGTCTAGCAAGTCCTGGAACACGTGGGTGATGTACCGTTGGAACACAGTGGGCGCGTTGCACAATCCGAAGGGCATAACCAGGTATTCGAACTGCCCGTACCGGGTCCCGAATGCTGTCTTCCACTCATCCCCGGCTCGGATCCAAATTAAATTGTAGGTCCCCCGGAGGTCAAGCTTGGTGAACACCTGCGCCCCTTGCACCCGCTCCAGCAACTCCGAAATAAGGGGCAAGGGGTACCGGTCTGGGATGGTAATTTTGTTCAGGGCCCGGTAATCATGGCAAGGGCGAAGCTCCCCACATTTCTTCTTAACGAAGAGCACTGGCGCAGTGGTGGGCGAGGTAGAAGGCCTAATGAAACCACACTCCAGGTTCTTGCACAGGAAGTCCTGCAAAGCTTCGCGCTCTGGCTCTGTTAGAGAGTATAAGCGACTCACCGGCAGGGGCGCTCCAGGCTGGAGGTCTATGCCGCAGTCAAAAGACCGATGCGGCGGCAGCTGGTGTGCCCCCCGTTCCTCGAACACGTCTTGGTAGTCCCGGTACTCGGCTGGGAGCATGGATGCAGCCTCCTCAGTGGGTGCGGCTGCTAGCATCTCGGACTGAGCATGGGAACATGGGTCTGGGAAGTGCACAGTCCGTTTAACCCAGTCAATCTGAACGTTGTGAGCCTCCAGCCAGTCCATCCCGAGCACCAGGGGGAACCGGGGCATGGAGGCAATGTCCAAAGTTCGCATCTCCCGGTGCTGCTGGAGACACAGGACCAAGGGCTGGGTCTCCTGAGTAACGGCACCTGAACACAGGAGCCGTCCGTCAATTGCCTCCACCTGTACCAGTTCTGGCTTGTTCTGAAGTGGCACCTGATGATGGGCAGCAAAAGCAGCGTCCATATAGCAGCGGGTTGCCCCCAAATCTACCAGAGCATGGGTAAGAATCCAGGGCCCACCTGGAGGGTATAGACGTACCGGGACCATAAGGTGTTGCAATTCCATCGGTGCGGGCCCATTCTGCGCTGTTTGGGACCCCCGGTAGCCAGGGCCATCAGCTACTGGGGTTGGTGGTTTCCCTGTGGCTGGCGTTTCTCAGGACAGGACCGGGCGTAGTGTCCACTTCCGCCACAGTAGAGACATAGATTCCCCTCCCGACGCCGTGTCTTCTCCGCAGGGGAGAGGCGTGGCCGCACTGCCCCGAGCTGCATAGGCTCCTCCGATGACTCGGCTGTGGCCGTGGAGCTGCTGGTAGAAACTGGCGCCGAGAACTGGAAGTGCCGGCGGCCCCGGGCCTGACGACGGTCCTCCAGCCGATTGTCTATCTGTAGACTCCGTTGAATGAGGGCGTCTAGCGAGGTGGGGCGTTCCATTGTGGCCAGCTGGTCCAGTATCTCGTCTGAAAGCCCCTCGAGATACTGGTCCCGAAGAGCAGAGTTATTCCAGGTCAAGTCCTGTGCCAGCAGCCGAAATTCCGTGGTGTATGCGGCCACAGTGGACTTGCCCTGTTTCAACCGCCTAATTGCCCGGTTGGCTTGACTCCCCTTCTGGGGGTTGCCAAAAGCGGCCTCCAAAAGATTGCAAAACCCCATATAGTCTGTCAGCAAGGGGGAGTCTTGCCTGAGCAGCGGCAACGCCCACTTGGCCGCCTGGTCCTTTAACAAACTAATCAAAAAGTGCACCTTGGTGCGGTCGTCAGGGAAGTTCCGGGCTCGCCCCTGAATATACAACTTGGCCTGGGCAAGGAACATGGGAAAGCTGGCCGGGGCCCCATCAAATTTCTCTGGCAAGGCCACTGGGTACTTGCCAGGAGCCGGGGCGTCCGCCCCAGGAGCCAGTAGGGCGTCCAACCGCTGCTGAAGTGCCGTAACCGCATTGCTGAGCTGCTGCACGGTGTGAGTCAAGGCCTGGTTCTCCTGGGCTAATGTCAACAGCGTAGCTGCTTGGTCGGCCATGGCTTCTGGCTCTTCCTGAACGCACCCCAACAAAGAGGGAGTGCGGGTGGGGCGGGAGCAAACTGTGCTAGTCCCGGGGGGAAGGTTACCATTGTCGTAGTCAAAGTCCAGTCCTGAGTCACTAGCCTGGAAACAGTTCACAAGGAGCGAGGCGAGGTCCGAAGCAGGAAGCCGGGCGGGGACAGGAACACTGGAAGGTCAGAAGCAGGAAGCCGGGTGGGGACAGGAACACTGGAAGGTCAGGTCTGGGTAGGAGCAGGTACTCAACGACAATGTTGCTCCCGCAACCTGGGACCGGGCTGTCTGGCCTTTATCTTCTCTGAGGCCAGGGGCGGTCCCGGCCCCCAGGAGACCTGCCTCTCCTGGCCTTAAGGCGAGCACTCCTCCTGGGAGAAACCAGTTCCCTTCGCCTCTCTGCCCTGAGCCTCTGCAGTTCAGGAGAGGCTGAAGGGTTACTGGGCCCAGGGGGAGACTCACCTGTAGGCACTGAGTCCTCAACCACCTCTGGAGCCAGAATGGATTCACCTGGTGCCTGCTCCTGAGGATCCGGCACAGGTGTAGGCGCCTCAGAATCAAGGCCCTGCCCCAGTTCAGCCGGCCCTGGAGGCGGGGACTCCTGTGCAGGCTGGGATTCCTCCGGTTCACCCTCTGAATCGGATTCCCAGGCCATCACACCATCCCCCCTCCCAGGCCCCCCCCTCAATCGAGGGTCTGGACCCGGCTTGCTGGGGTACGCCGCATGGAAATCTCGGAGGCAGGCAGGCGTGTGGACGTTGGCTGCTGGTTCCCAGGAACGGTCCTCCGGTCCATACCCCTTCTAGTCTATGAGATACTGCAGCTTTCCCCTGCAGTATCGGGAGTCCAGAATGCGTTCCACCTCGTGCTCAGGCTCCCCCTGAACCAAAACTGGCTGCGGTCGGGGACGGTTCGGGTGGAACTCGTTGGGTGGGGCCACCGGACTCAGAAGGGACCTGTGGAAGACCGGGTGAACCTTCAGGGTTGCGGGCAACCGGAGACAGAATGCCACAGGTGAGACTTGGTCCACGATAGGAAACGGGCCGGTGAAACGGGCTTCCAGCTTCTGCGAAGGTCGAGAGGGGTGGAGGTGATGAGTGGAGAGCCATACCAGGTCACCGACGTGGAGTTCCGGCCCCACCTGATGGTGGCGGTCGGCCTAGGCCTTGTACGCCTCCTTGGCCTGGCGCAGTTGCTCCATCAATAGCTGTTGCTGGGACTGGAGCTCCTGAAGCCACTCCGTCACGGCAGGGACCGCGGATGCTGGCAGCACATCTGGAAACAGCCGTGGATGATAACCGTAACTGGCCTGGAATGGGGTCTGCTGGGTGGACACATTCACCGCGTTGTTGTAGGCGAACTCCGCCAATGCTAGGTGGTCGACCCAGTCATCCTGCTGGTAGCTGCAGTAACACCGGAGGTACTGATCCAGCACCGCGTTTGCCCGTTCCGTCTGGCCATCGGTCTGTGGGTGGTAGGCTGATGAGAGACAGACCTCTGTCCCGAGGGTCTGGTGCAATGCTCACCAGAACCGGGATGTGAACTGAACGCCCCGGTTGGACACCACACGCTCAGGTAGGCCATGCAGGCGGAAGACATGCTGAAGGTACAGCTGAGCGGTTTCCTTAGCTGTGGGTACAGATGGGCAGGGGGCACAGTGCACCATCTTAGTGAAATGGTTGGAGAAAACTAGAAGGCAGGTACAGCCACGAGACGGGGGTAAGTCCACTACAAAGTCCAGCGAAATCGTGTGCCAAGGACGTGGTGGGACCGGCAATGGCTGAAGTAGGCCGGGGGGTCGCCCGGTAGGGCCCTTGGCCCGCCGGCAGACATCACAACCAGCGACGTAGCGAGCCACGTCAGCCTTCAGGCGGGACCACCAAAACTCACGGCTTATCAGATGGGTGGTCCGATACCGCCCAAAGTGCCCCGCTGCTGGGGCATCATGGGTCATCCGGAGAACCTCAGCCCGCAGTGGCCCTGGCGGGATGTACAGGCGACCGTGGTGCAGCAGAAGGCCCTGATGCAAGACCAGCCCCAGATACTGAGGGCAGGACCCTTCGGCCAGTTCCCGGAGTCGTTCCTGGGCTCAAGCGTTGACCCACTGCTGTTCCCGCACCCGAGCCTGCAGTGGCTCAGCATCCTGGGTGGCCAGGAATGCAGCCGGTGGTAGGATCTTCACATAAGACTAGAATCATAGATCTTGCAGAACTTGCTCTTGATGTGCAGAGAACAAGATTCCATTGCTTTCATATCTCTCCTAAGCTTCACAGGATGTCTCTTCTACAATTTTTGACGTCTTTAAAACCTGCCACTCATAGGTTTCCGGTGCCAAGAAATCAGATAACACATGGTTTGAGTTTGCCACCTCTTGTGGCTTCCCGTCTCATATTTTAATCTCTCAATTTCAACTGGATGCTTTCTTTTATTTCTGTCTTCTCATTTAAACTGTGCTGCAATGTGACAACAGTATGCTATATTTTACTCTCAGAGATGGACTGCTGGAATATTTTAAAGTCAGAAATTTTTATTATAGCATATACTAATAAAGTAAGGTAAAGGACCCCTGAACAGTTAAGTCCAGTCAAAGGCGACTATGTGGTTGTGGCGCTCATCTCGCTTTCACGCCGAAGGAGCCGGCATTTGTCCACAGACAAATCTGGGTCA